GCCTGCGTCCCGTTCTGCGTTGCCTGTCCGTACTGTTCGCGCTGGTCGTGTTTCGCGTCCGCGTCCTCCTCCTGTCCCTGGCACTCACTCTATGACTCTGTGTCCTTCCACTGCTCCTCAGCGTGGCCCTCTGCCGTCTCCTCCTACGTCCTCTCTTCCTGCCGGTCCGGACCCTGCGTCTGACTCTCTACGTGCTGCTAGTCCAGCTGTCGCGCACTTTCTGGCCACTGCTGTCACTGACCCTCTGTTTGAGTCCACTGCTGCGTCTGCTCTTGTTGCTGAGCTTGTTGAATTTGCTGCAGCCTGTCCCCTAGACTACGCCACTAGTCTTGTTGCTGAGTCTGCGTCTGCGTCTGTTTGTCCTCCGTCCGTCGGAGGTGAGTGTGCTCTTGGCACATACGTTCTTGAGGACAGACAGGAGGAGTTTGAGTGCTTTGCCGCTTCTGTACCTCATCTTGTGTCCATGCTGCTTGTCCCTAAGGGAGACCCGTATGCACCAGACATCCCGACCCTGCGCTCTTACGCAGAGGCGATAGAGGGTCCCTACTCCTCTCAGTGGCAAGCAGCCATGGACGCCGAGATGGCTTCCTGGAAGTCCTCAGGCACCTACGTAGACGAGGTTCCCCCACCTGGCTTCACTGGGTCGTTTCCTGCTGGTACCCAGTGGAGCCTCCGGCGGCCAGTCTACGGTCTCCGCCAGGCACCCCGTGAGTGGCACGACATACTCAGGACGACTCTTGCTGTTCTTGGTTTTGCTCCTTCCACTTCTGACCCTTCTTTGTTTTTACGCACTGACACTACTCTACCGCCATTCTACGTTCTCATGTACGTAGACGACCTCGTCTTTGCTACTGCTGACACTGAGGCACTCGCCCGCGTGAAGTCTGAGCTGCAGAAGAGACACACGTGCACAGACCTGGGTGAGCTGACAAGCTATCTTGGCTTGCGGATCACCCGGGACAGAGCACAGCGCACCATTACCTTGACTCAGTCACACATGGTGCAGCAGGTCCTTCAGCGCTTCGGCTTCACGTACTCCTCGCCACAGTCCACTCCTCTGCCTACCGGTCACTCGCTCTCAGCTCCACCTTCGGACGAGTCCGTAGAGCCGAGTGGCCCGTATCCAGAGCTTGTGGGCTGCCTCATGTACCTGATGACTTGCACACGACCTGACCTCGCATACCCTCTCAGCCTTCTGGCTCGCTACGTGGCTCCCGGCAGGCACTGAAAGGTGCACTGGGATGCTGCGAAGAGGGTGTTGCGATACTTGTGCTGTACATCGGGCATGGGGCTCGTGCTTGGAGGACGGGCTCGAGTTGTCCTCACTGGTCACGCTGACGCCTCCTGGGTTGACGACTTGGCTACGCAGCGGTCGTCACAGGGTTACACCTTCAGTCTTGGCTCCGGTTCTGTCTCTTGGCGGTCTACCCACTCTTCTTCTGTTCTCAGTTCCAGTTGTGAGGCTGAGATCTACGCTGGGGCCATGGCTGCACAGGAGCTACGCTGGCTCACCTACCTGCTGACCGACTTGGGAGAGGCGCCTCGTTCTCCTCCAGTTCTGTACGTCGACAACAAGGCCATGTTGGCCTTGTGTCAGGAGCACAGACTGGAGCAGAGAACAAAGCACATTGCTCTGCGCTACTTCCTTGCTCGAGAGCTGCAGCAGCGTGGCCAGCTTCGTCTTGCTTACGTGGCCTCTCAGGCCAACACTGCTGATGTTTTCACCAAGGCACTTCAGCCTTGTGATCATCAGCGTTTCTGTACTATGTTAGGCCTTGTACCTACTATACCTCACTTGCTTTCTTCTTGACTCTGCTTGTACTGTACTCTTTATACATATACCTGCATGCTTAGACTTGCTAGGTTGTGTTCACTGTATTGTTTGCTTTTCTTTATATAACTCTGCATGTGAACTGGCCTTGTGGCCATTTGCTTGTGCTCGGACTGCGTGGTGACTTTGTGATCCACCCTGAGCTTGCTTTGCCTTTCTTGACTGGTCTTGTGACCTCTTGTTCTCCCCCACTTTGCCTATGGGGGTGTGTCAAACTTATATGCTATAGTCTGTCTAAGCTGTAGTGGGGTAGTTCTTACAGGGTACAACACTTTTAGGTTTCCCATATGTACCCACCTGCTTTCTAGTTCAGTCATTCATTCGCTCACATTCTAACACGCACGACCCATCGTGCAGCGCTCGATAGTTCCGACCGCGGCGGTCTTTAGGCGAAAAAAACCATTTTCCGCTTAGCACCCTCCCCCCCTTCACTACTACACGATCGACGAGCACCCACATGTCGCGCGACTCCAGTGCTTTCAGTTCCGCGTCCATCGCCGCTTGCCACTCCTTGGCGTGTCGGCCCGTGAGGGCCTCCCGTGTGTTCTTAGGCTCGATGATGATAGCGGTGTGCAGGTCGAGTAGTTGAAGGCCAGTGGCGTTAGTCGCACCTTCGGCTTCCTGAGTGGTTACTTCAATCACATCGTCGTCGTTGCTCTCGTGCGCTGGCGGTGGGTTACTTGGATTGTCATGGCGTCGTGATGGTCCTGGCGCGAGGGCGTTATCATCGTCGTCATTGTCATCGTCGTCGCGCGAGCAAGGAGGTACGCAAGGATGTTCGTCGGCGGGGTCGCGGTCAAGGTGAGCCGCAGCTGCCTCATCTTGTGGCGAGGCAAAGCTTCGACCATTGTTGGTGGAAGCTTGGGCGATGTTTTTGCGCTGGTCCTTGGTCCACTGCTGCAGGGTGAGTCGTTCGTAGAAAAGAATGTATCGCATGGGTACTATCTTGTTGTTAACTTCCAGAATCAACCAGCCCTTGTACTCGTAACTGAGCCCCAAATGAACTCCCCGCGAGCGCGTTAAGTGAACTTGCCGACGGTAGCTGATGACGGCCTGTACTGCACCATGCACCCCCAAACCCTCTGCATGGAGGTGTCCCCCCTTGTCCCGGTCCATTTCATGTGCGGTGAGAGGTTCCCCCTGTTCGTTGTGGTTGAGAGAAGGTTATGAAGCCGCACGGCGTGATTCATGGCTTACGGCCAGTTTCTCTTGGGAAGACCGGACTGATTCATGAGGGCGCGGACCTTTGTCATGAGGGTGCGATTGACCCGCTCAGCGACGCCTTGCTGCTGGTGAGTGTAGGGGAGTGAGATATGGTGATTGATCCCCTTTTTGGTGAGGAACGCATGCAGATTGTTGCCACAAAATCATTTGGCGCCGTCTGTATGCCAAATCTTCAGCTTCTTCCCCGATTCCCGTTACGCGTGAGCCAACCAGATGCGGAAGACTTTCGGGGCTTTGGACAGACATGGCATGAGTACGCAACGATGAAGGTGAGAGTGTGATTCTCATCATTGGCTCCCCCATAATTGATGAGAATGAAGCCGCTGTAGACTTTCTGCAGCTTCTTGTAGCTGTTGGTGCTCGGCTCCAGTGAGGGGTGAGCTTGGTGCGTGAGGGCAGCTGTGGGGCAGACGGTGCATGTTTGTGGCTGTGTGGTGCTTCGTGGTTCCGTGCCGTCAGGGCGCAGCACTGCTCCTGGCAAAAATACCTTGGCGGTGAGGTAGTTGTTGAATGTCTGGCGTAGGGATGGCCGAGTCGCTGGTGCCAGAGGTCATATTCTGCGCGGGCTCCGGGGGTACGCAGGTATCGTGCGTGGCATGTGGCTGCTTCTGCTTCTGTCTTATAAGGAATGATGAGCATGGGTCCTTCTTCTTCTCCTGGTTCTGCTTCTTCTTCCTCCTCTGCTTCTGGTTCTACTGCTCTCTCTCCTTCTACAACAAATCTCACACACCAGTGTACACTTCACTTTCAAGCCCTTATGGATCTACAGTCAAAATGAGCCTTTGGCCCAAGTTCGCTAAGAGATAGCTGGGTCTACTAACTCTAGGATGAAATGCGGTAGTAGACTTTTGGCAAAATAAGTATTGAGAAAGCTCGTTTCTTCTGTTAGCCATTGGAATCACTCTCATTAGAATGGGCTCAAGTACGGAAAATTTTAGCAAATCATAATAAGACAAGAACAATGATCCTTCAAAATCGCTAATTTAAGAAACTACGCAGACGATGATATGTTGTCAGGAAATGACTAGAATGGGAAGGGCGGCTGGAAAATCAACTTGATTCACTAAAAAATACCGTATTTGCCCGGATATAGGACCCCCCGGGAAGAGAGTCCCCCGGATCTCATATGGAGGGGGAGGGGAATGCATATTTAAGGCAAAATTGTTAGGACCCCCCCTCTTACATACAACAATTATAAGAACCCCCTCTTCCTTTTTCCAATACTGTTTTAATCGTTCCCTTCCTTTTTCCCGAATACGTCCAATTGATCAGCAAATGATGGAGTACATCCACACAATTACATGTTAACACACCTTTACGGAAAGACTTCAGTTCTAGTTAACACACGTCCAGGTCCTACCATCCTACTCATGCATGCCAGCTACTGCTACCGACATATCCTACTCATCCTCCCACTCCTCCCCTCGTCCTTCCCCATCTGGTGTGTCGCACGTCACCCCGTAGTCTCCACTGTCCTCGGCCTCGTCCTCACAGTCGTTGTAGCCGCAGCAGTCGTCGTCGCAGCGGCCAGTCGCTGTTGACTCTGAGGGTGCAGGAGGTGCAGCTGCGGAAGGTGTGGACCCTAGAGGTGTTGGATCTGGAGGTGCTGACGCTGGAGGTGCTAGTGCTGGAGATGTTGGCTCTAGGGGTTCTGATGCTGGAGGTGTTTGCACTAGGGGTACTGCTAATGGGGGTGCTGACACTTGGAGTGCATTTGTCCCGCAACGTTCGGCGATACTGCAACAGCGGCAGCAGCAGCGGCAGCAGCAGTGGCAGCAGCCGCAGCACCGATTGTGAGACTCCGTTGCCACTCCCGAACCCCTCTCCGGCTTGATTTCCTCCTCGTTCACTTTCTCCTCCTCTCCTCCCTGACCTGTCTCTTAGCCCCTTCCCCCGTCGTCCTACACGTGCTCGTCATTCGTCTCCTATTCCAGGCTTTCACTCTATGAGGCCCCGTTCTTCTCCCCCTTGTGTGTCGCCTCCTGTTCTGCCGTTACCTCTTCAGTTTGCCCTCACTGCCTCTCCTCTCTCGTTACCGACCCTACTGATCCTTTCGATTCTTTCTCTGCTCTTCTCATTGCGTGACTTTGCCTCCACCCACCGCCTTCACTACGCCACGCAGTTGGTGGCTGGTACTGCCCGTCCTTAGTCCTTCGGAGTATCAAATTATACTTTGTATTTATAGGCGGTAGCCCATATAAGGTACAACTAATTTAGGGTTAGTACTTGTATCTTTCTTCCTGCTCAATACAATCATTCCTTCTGTTTCATTTCTGACATGGTTTTAGAGCAGTTATCTTGATTTTTTTTTCATAGGCCCCCCTTTAGTTCTGCCCAACACTGCCTCGCACGTCGCCACTGCCCCGCGCGCCCTCCTGCCCCACGCACCCCGCGCGCCCTGCAGCCCCGCCCCCCGCGTGCCTTGCGTGCCCCGCGCGCCTTGCTGCCCCGCTGCCCCGCGCGCCCTACTGCCTCGCGCGCACCACCGCCCCGCGTGCCCTGCTGCCCCGTGTGCCCTGCTGCCCCGCACGCCCCGCACGCTCTGCTGCCCCACGCGCCCTGCGCGCCCTGCTGCCCCGCACCCCTCGTGCCTCGCGCGCCCCGCGCGCCTTGTTTCCCCGCTGCCCCGTGCGCCCTACTGTGCCGCGCGCACCGTCGCCCCTCGCCCCTTGCTGCCCCGATACCCCGCTGCCCCGCACGCCCTCCGTGCCCCACTGCCCCGAGCGCCCCGCGCGTTCTGTTGCCCCACACGCCCCGCGCGCCCTGTTGCCCTGCGTGTCCCGCGCGCCCTGCTGCCCCACGCGCCCCGCGCGCCCTGCTGCCCCACACGCCCCGCGCGTCCTGCTGCCCCACGCGCCCCGCCGCCCTGCTGGCCCGCTCGCCCTGCCGCCCCGCGTGCCCTGCCGCCTCACGCGCCCCACGCGCCCTGCTGCCATACGCACGCTGCCCTGCCCCCCGCGTGATTCCCTGCCCCACCACTGCCCAGCGTCTTGCTGCCGCGCACGCCGCCCGCGCTGCGCCTGCGCCGCCGCGCTGCCCCCGCTACCCCGCGCCGCCGCGCTGCTGCCAGCGCTTAGGGAGCTCCCGCCTGCGCTTCCTCGCACTTCCGTTCGCGCTACAGCCCGCGCTTGGGGTGTTGCCGCCAGCGCCGCCGCTTAGGGTGCTGCCACCTGCGCCACCGCACAGCAGCCGTTACAGCCTGACCTTGTTTCTGTCATGGCGACTATCACTATCCTAGCGTTTGACGCAGAGGGGTGCCCTATTGAGTTTGAGTCCTGGCTAGAGGACCTTTACATGTACCTGCAACGTTTCACTCGCGACCACTTCTCCCTGTTTGAGCATACGCCGGGGTCCCTTCAGGCCCCCACGAATCTAGCTGCGCCTGTTGCTGACGCTGGGGAGGAGGAGGAGCAGCAGTATCGGACTGGCCGTGTTGCCTACACACAGTGGATGGCACGTGACGCCACCGCCCCACGTGCTGTCCGTGCTCACCTGCCGCTCGCCCAGAGAGCACACTTTCGCCAGGTGATGTCGGCCCAAACTTTTAACGACACTGTGGTTAGGCACTACTCCTCTCTCTCTTCTGCCACCCTAGGCCGTCTTTCTCTGCCGTTTCTCCTCCCCGACCTGTCGTCGCTCGCGTGTGGGGGTGGAGGTTCTTCGGGTGGGCAGCAGCAGTAGCAGCAGCAGCGGCAGCGGCCGTTGTTCTGGGAGTGGCAGCAGCTGTCGTCGCTAGCTTGTATTGAGGAGGCGAGTGTAGGTGCTTGTGAGACTGCTAGCACAGATGCAGTTCCTCCGGAGGCTTTGCACACTTTCACACTGGACTCTCGCGTGTCTAGGTGCTTCTTCCGCGACTGCACCACAGTTACACCACTCACTGCACCTACCTCTGTCACTCTGGCTGACCCCTTCTCTGGCCCAATAGTTGCACGCAGCTCCACTGTTCTCCCATGTCCGGCAACCCCCTCTGGCTCCCTCATAGGTTTCCACCTCCTTTCGTTTGCTACAAACTTGGTGAGTACCGCTCACCTGCAGGATATGATGGTCACCACCACCACTCCTAGGGGCGAGCGCGTGGCAATCTGTACTGACACTTTGAGTGGCGACCACCTTGCCATATTCACACGGAGGCTTGGGTCTGAACTGTACATACTACACACTTATCAAAGTGAAGGTCTTGGGTTCGAATCCCAGGGTGTGCACTTTAAGCATCCCAGTGCGGGGGGGTGTCAGAGGTCCACTGGTGATCCCCGATTGATCCTAGGGAAGGTTTACAGGCTCGTTGTCCTGGGGGGTTATGGGCGCACTGACCCGCTACTTAACAAGCCCTTTTATCCCAATGGTCTAGTGGTTGGGATTCTGACATGGTTTTAGAGCAGTTAAGCTCCTAAGACCTAATGGGCCCAGCGTTAGCTTCCGCCAATGCGCCTATTTTCTGCTCGTCGCTCGCCCCCGGCGCGCGGCGGTTTCTGCTCGTCGTGCACCCCGGGCGCGCGGCGGTTTCTGCCCGTCGCACGCCCCAAGCGCGTGGCGGTTACTGCCCGTCGCATGCCCCGGGCGTGTGGCGGTTTCTGGCCGTCGCACGCCCTGGGCGTGCGTTGGTTTCTGCCCGTCACGCGCACCCAGCACGCGACGGTGTTCTGCCCGTCGCTCGCCCCCAGCGTGCAACGGTTTTCTGCCTGTTGCGCGGGGGCCCTGCTGCCCTGCTTCCCGTCGTCCCCGCCGCCCGCTTCCTCCTCCCTCTCCGGCTTCGCATACAGCAGTTTGGGGGGGGTGGGGGGGGGGGGGGGGGGGGGGAGGGTGTTGGGAGGACGCAGGAGTGGCGGTGGGGGGTGGTTGCACCTCCAGCGCCCCGCTGCTCTGCTTCGTCACCAAGCCAGCAGCCCCCCCCCCCTCCGCCTCTCCTTTCCCCCCCTGCTGCTCCTAGTGCAGCGGCGGTTTCTGCCCGGCGCCTCGTGCGCCTCTGCCCGGCGCCTCGTGCGCCCTGCTTGCCCGTGCCCGTCCCACCAGATCGCACACCTCGCCCCCCCCTCCCTTCTATTCCCTCTCCCTACTGCGTGTGCAGCAGTTTGGGGGCAGGGGGAGGTGGCACCAACAGCACCACTCTCCTCTTCTCTCTTTCACGGCCGCACCTGCTGCTGTGGGGGGGGGGAGGGTGGAGAGGGTGGAGTGGTGGGAGTGACGGGAGGAGCTACTGCCACTGCCGCTCGCCTTCCCCTCTCTCTCCCTGCTGCGCGTGCAACAGTGGGGGGGGGGGGTGGGTTTGGGGTGGCGGGTGTGAGCACCCAGCTGCCGCTGCTCCTCCTCTCTCACTCACTGCCGCACGTGCCGCTGTGGGGGGGGGGGGGTGAGGGGGTGGCGGGTTTCTGGCCGCCGTGTGAAGGCTTGAGCAGGGACCACCGTGGGTGGGGAAGGCTTTGGAGGAGGGGTGGGGGGAAGGCGTGAGGTTCCAGGGGGCGGTTGACAAGGGGGGTGAGGTTGAGGGGGGTGGCTGAAAGGGAGCGTGGAATTAGGGGGTTAGTAAGAGGGGCTCGACGAGCTAGGCTCCCCGCACCTCCTCTCCTCCCTCTCTCACCCTCCCCCCTTTGTAAAACGGGGGTTCGTAAGAGGGGTTCGCCGCGTGGCTCCCCCCACCTCCTCTCCTCATTCTTCTCCTCTCCCCTCTCTCTCTCTAGTCTCCTCCTCCTCGCATTCCTCTCTGTTGTCTTCTGCTGCGCCTGGTGTATCGCTTGAGGGGGTGTTTCTGCACATGGTTCTTCACTGCAGGCAGTTAGGGGGTGTGTCAGAATATAATTGTATACATTATACTATAACTGGTTGTTGTGTAGACTTAGTGTAGTGCTAAACTTGTTTGGTGGTGCACCTTGCTTGCTTTGCCTATATCCTTGTACCTTCTCTCCTTATTCATCACCACCTTTTGGCTTGCAATTTCTTCTCGCTACTCTCCTAAGCCTAAACCATAGGCTACTAAGTCTACTAAGTTAAGAGCCTATTTTAACAACTGAGTCTGCTCGGGTGGCTGCATCAGGTCAAGTAGCTGCGTCTTGCTCGTGTCGGTTAGTCACGCACCAGTCCCTTCACTGGCACCACCATATTGGTCACCCCTCCCTTCAGCGTCTCCGCAGCATGCACTCGCGTCTCCTTGTTTCAGGGCTCCCGGGGTCCCTGCCCCTGCTCCCGCGGTTGCTTGCGCTGCCGTGCACTCCCCGCGTCGAGGGGCGGCAGCGCGCAGCTCCTCACTCCTCGTTTCCTCCGACCACTGCTCCTCGGCAAACACTGCACATGGACGTGTAAGGCCCCGCCCCCGTCTCTGGGCCAGGCCGGGAGCGCTACTTTCTGCTGGTAGTTGACGACTTCACGTGCTACACCACGGTGTTTCCCTTGCAGCGCAAGGGCGATGTCCGTGGTGTCTTGATCCCTTGGATACGCACTGTTTGTCGCCAGCGGAGCGCAAGAGTTTGGCAAGACCTCTCGGTGATGCGGCTGCACTCTGACCGAGGTGGTGAGTTCTCCTCCCTTCTCCTCCAGGAATTTTGTCGTGAGGAGGGCATCACCCAGTCGTTCACGCTTCCAGCCTCTTCACAGCAGAATGGGCTTGCTGAGCGTCGTATTGGCCTGATCGGGGAGGTTGCTTGCACCTCCATGATCCATGCGGCTGCTCCATATTTTATGTGGCCATTTGCGGTCCGATACGCCGTGCATCAGCTCAACCTCTGGCCCCGTGTCTCCCAGCCAGAGACCTCGCATACCCTGCTTTGTACGGGGGAGGTTTGTGATGCGTCGGAGTTTCAGGTCTGGGGTTCGCTTGCCCTTATCCGCAATCCTCCCGCGAGCAAGCTCTCTCCTCACACTGTTCGCTGTGTCTTCCTTGGCTTTCCCACCGGCGCGATTGTCTGGCAGGTTTACCACCCAGCCACGCGCCGCATCGAGTCCTCCACCATGTCACCTTTGACGAGTCGGTTTGCTACTACCGTCTCTTCCCCCACCGCAGTTCCTCTGTTCCCCACCCGCCCCTCTTCCCGGTTCTAGGTTACCCCCTGGTAGACCCCTTCCCCCCCCCCCCCTTGGTTGAGCCTTTGGAGGTCTCCTCTGGCTCGGCTCCCTTGGGTGTGTCTCAGGTCACACCCCCCCCCCCTTGTTTGAGCCTTTGAAGGTCTCCTTTGGACCGGCTGAGGGGGGTGACCCTGCTGCTGACAACACCACTGCCTCTCGCTGCCCACCACGCTTAGAGACTCCTCATGGCTTTCTGCCTCGGCCTTCTTCGCCGCCTCTGCAGCCTGTCGCTGTGGACTCCGGTGCTGTTGGGGGTGGTGACTATGGAGGTGCTGGTTCTGGGGGTGCTGAGCGTCCTAGTGGTTGTGGAGTTGAGGGTACTACTGCTGGAAGCTCTGCGGGTGCGACGCACCCTTGTTTTGGGAGTTGTCGGATTCGTCACCGCCGCGTCCTGAGTCCGTTACTCGAGGCTCTCGAGGTATTGGAGCTGGAGGTGCTGGAGGTTCTGGTGCTGGAGGTGCTGGAGCTGGAGGTGCTGGAGGTTCTGGTGCTGGAGGTTCTGGTACTGGAGGTGCTGGAGCTAGAGGTGTTCCTAATGGTAGTTCTGGGGGTGCTGACCCTGCGGGAGCGGTCTTAGGAGGTGCTGAGCGTCCTTGTGGTGGTGGAGTCGAGGGTAATACTGTTGGAGGTTCTGCAGGAGCGTCGCACCCTCTACCGCGACGGCCCTTGTTCTGGGAGCAGCTGTAGTCGTTGCTGTCAACATATATTTTTTATGTGTTGTTTAGTTTAGCCTAGGTGTTACATTCACAATTCCTAGGATTTGCATATATCCCCTTGTACCTTGTTTCCTTAGTCAATTGTTCTTCACCCGTTTAGACTCTCGACATGGTATAGAGCACTAAGTTCCTATGGGCCCACCGCCCCGTGCCCTGACTTAGCCCGTAGCGCCCTAATGCCCGAAGCACCCCGTCACCCCACCTGCCCCGAGCTCGTCATCCGTTTAGCCCCGCGCGCGTCACTTGTTTTTTCGAGCGCGTCACCCATTTAGCCCCGTGCGCGTCATCCATTTCTGCCCCACACTTAGCTCGCCAGCCCACTAGCGCGTAGCAAACACACGATCGCGCGCAGCCGTAGCCGCACGTGCAACCGCGCGCACGTGCAGCCAT